TATGTATGTATATATATGTATGTTTTCAGAATCCACGAAATATGGTTCATTTCCTTGAGATGAACACATAACTTTCCATAACATAAAACCTAGTATTTTGGGATATTAAAGAAACGTCTTTGTTCTCTCGTGCTGCTGTAACAGAAATACCACAAATGGATGGCTTTAACAAACAGGAGTTTATTTTCTTACAATTTAGGGCACTAGAAGTCCAAATTCAGAGTGTTGGCTCGGTGAAGGCCACTCAACTTTGGGCTTCAGCTCTACCTCTATGTTCCAAGAAGTTAGTGGCTTCTTCTGACTCACGCAGCTGCACGCTACTGAGGCTGACAAACCCAAGGTCAGCAAGTAAAATGGCACAGTCCCAAGATTAGCAGGCAACACAGCAGGCCAGATGAAGACTCGGCCAAATGCAGGATCCAGATGAGCCAAAAAGCTGGAGACCTTCCTCAAAGCTTCTATATACTGAAAGCAACCACACTATGAAGGCAACTAATAAGCTTCTCACAGCAGATTACACCACAGAATTGATTATATCACATCCAATCTCATCATGGGGAACAACTGCATCCACCTACCCAGCCACTCAAAACCAAGGCCCACTCAAGTTGACACACAACCTCAAACTACATAAGAAGTAATAAGCAAGATTTAAATGACTCTCAGAATTTTTCTTTAAGGTGCTTCCATGTGGGGGGACTTCCACTAAAGCAGTGGTTCTCAAACATTTTGGTTTCAAGATCCCCTTTAACTCTTACAATTGCTGAGGACTCCAAAGAAGTTTTGTTTATATAAAGGATATATTTATTGGTTCATCGCTGACAACCAAAATGCACTTAAATACACATTTTGGCTAAAGTGAACTGAACCACCCATTGTTTTTATTAAGTGAGTGTCCAACGAACTCTGGAATCCTTGGGGACAAAAAGGTGTATTTCAATAATGTTCAAATCTTTTTTCACTTCATGTACCTGAAGGGCAGTAACAGCACTTTGTTAACTCACTCAGACAATGCATGTGTATCTTTCTAAACCGTGTAAATCAAAGTGTATCTACATAACTTAAAATAAAATTTCTATTTATGAAGTTAAAAAAAAAGGATATATCTATTGGTATTTACCATATTAGAAAACTAAATGTTTTCATTTTTATTTAATGTTTTAAAATATTTATTGATTCTAAAACACATGTAATAATAACATGTAATAAACTTATTATATGCTAGCATAAATAACATTCTTATAAGAAATAACTGTATTTTCCAAAAAAACAAAAATAGTGGGAAATGTAGCATTATATTACATTTTTGCAAAACTCTTTTTAACATCTGGCTTAATAGATGTGGTGGCTAAGTTTGTGTGTCAACTTGGCTGGGCCTGTTGAGTGGCTGAGCAGCTGAATGTAGTTGTTCCTCACAGTAAGATTGGTGAATAACTCCGTGGTGGAATCTACTGGAGCAGCTGAGTAGCTGCATTGGGGATGTGGTCTGCTTCCCGTATATAAGAAACAGCTTTGGGAATGGTCTCTAGTTTATGGTGTGCTTGAACCCTTCACGTAGCCATGTTGCTGTTCAGCAGCCTGACATGCTCTGCCAACCTTGGGGCTTTCAATGGACTTGAATTAATGGCCTGACATGTGGTTTGGTAATATTGGGACTGTGCCTTTTTACTTGTCAACCTTGGGCTTCTCAGCTTCAGCAGCCAGCAACTGAGTGAAGAAAAAAGCCTCTAGCTCCAGTGGGCCAGGAGCAGGAGGCAAAGCTGAAGCCAAGGTTGAGGGGCTTTCACCTAGGCCCTAGAGCCTGGCACTTGGAACTTGGACTTAAAGCCTCCCAACTGCAAAAGAATAAACTCCTGTTTGTTCAAGCATCCCATTTGTGGTATTTCTGTTAGAGCAGCACTAGGTAACCAGAACAATAGATGACAGCTGAAGTCTCATGTTTGCATCTCCTTTCAATCAACTGTAATATGTTGTCTCATACAGATAATATCTATGTCTCAAGCAGACATGTAGCTGGAAAAGGGAGGACTATTTTAATGGCCTTTTCAGATAACTGCAGATCCTTTTCTTTAGCACTACTCCAAAACTCAGAAGAGGGAAATTTCTTAAAGATTACTTGCTATGTGAATCTACATCTGATATATCAATGATCTTTTGCTAGATTAAAATCCAATGCTCTGTCTTGCATGGAATGGTTTAACTATTATGTACTCTCATCACAGATTTCTGACTTTTTATTATGCTTCAAAAGGTCTTCCCCACTATATGCTTATATAAGTAATTCACCTGTGTTTCTTCTGGAGTTTCCATGGTTTCATTTAAATCTCTGGGTCATCTGGCACTGACATACTTTAATTCAAAGAAATCATCCAGCTCAATTTTTTATTTATTCAATAATCCAAATGATGTCATGGAAACAGCCCAAGAGTCCATCATTAGATGAATGAATAAACAAAATGTGATATATACATACAATGGAATATTATTCAGCAGTAAAAAGGAATGGTTTTCTAATACATGTTACAATATGGATGAACTCTGAAAACGTTATGAGAAGTGAAATAAGCCAGACACAAAAGAATAAATATCATATGATTATGATTATGTGATTCCACTTATACATGTACCATGTATGTAGCCAAAACAAAAAATAAACCCACTGCCACTGAGTCAATTCCAACTCACAGCAACCAGACAGGGCAGAGTTGAACTGCTCCACAGGGTTTCCAAAGCTATAATCTTTCACTCCAAACAGCAGTAACTCCCCCCAATCCTCCCACATCCCAGTGCCTGATAACCTTGAATCTAAGATGGAAAAGTTTTAGGAATAAACAGTGGTAATAATTGTACAACATTGTGAGCATCTTCAATGCTACTGACCTACAGGCTTAAAACCTGTTAAAATGGCAAAGTTCGTATTATTTACACTTTGTTGTTGTTATTGGGTACCAACAAGTCTGCTCTGACTCATAGTGACCCCGTGTACAACAGAAAAAAGTGCTGCCCAGTCCTGTGCCACCCTCACAATCAGTGCCATGTTTGAGCCCACTGTGGCAGCCACTGTGTCAACCGTC